ACACCTCCGATATATTATTGGTTGCGTGAGAGGGTTACAGTTATAGACCGTGAAACTGGATCGGGAATTAACAACGTATCATTGTCATATAATGAATGTTGTAGCTGTAGATACACATCTATAAATTCCAATGCATGTATAATTTTCGCTTAATTATTGAGTGATGTTTGACATATAACAGTGAACAACTTTTCTATTGAGATAGGGTTCATTAATAAAAGTAGGTCCCATTTTTATTAAACAAATGGTATAAGTCTTTTTAAATGTGATGTCCTTAACATTTTTCGGACCAAAAACAGAATTAGAAAACTAGGGAATGAACATCTCAATGAAATAAAATCAAAGTGTTTAGGGGAGCACAAGTTACCCATTGGATGCATACAGATAAGTGGCGGATGCATATTGGAACCAAACTGGTCTCGACATCACCTGGAGTCTAAGAAATATACATGTGAAGGTCTTTCGATGATCCTTGAATGTTTGGTACGCGTCATTTTTGTGCCCACCAATTCTCTCAATAACACTCATCAGATTGTTCCGACATGTCAATACTTGTTGGCATGTGCACAACATGGTTCGGCTAATGACAACAAGTTCACTAAGTGTTCAACGAAATGCCTTAATAAAAAACTGAATTTTTTTTTGTGCACACCGCTCTGCTTTATCTAAAAAGCTTAAACCTTTAAAACAGAGACCCCCAAAGTTTAAATCCTGAATCATACAAATTAAAGGTTATTTCTAGGTTAAAACAGAGACCCTAAACCCCAATTGAAATTTTCACGAAATCAAGTGAAAAATTACCCAAAAATTGAAGCAGTGTGTTCAGAAGAAACCCTACTGCTTTTTCCTCCACTGCTTTTAATGTTTCGAATTGCTATGTATTAAGGAACACTTTACCGGGCATTTTTTCTTTGAATGGTGCTATTAGATTCTCTGTGTTCTGCTTATTTCTTGAAGATAAAGCAATTATTTTTCTTCCGTTCTAATGGCTGCTTCATTTACTCACATTTTAATTCTTGAGCTTTATCAAGTTTATTAGTTTGTAATGTTAAATGTGTATTTTTATCTCGTACAAATTGTCCGTCTTAATCCTTCAAGTTAGAAGACAATATCCGTATTCTTCTTTGATTGCACATGAAATCTAGTCATTTAGCTAGTCTAGTCTAGTCCTACATATATCGAATGCTGTAAAAAAAAAAACTTAAAAAACAACTGATCTTATTTAGAAGAAGAGGTTTTTCTTCAATAGTACATACAAAGTGCTTATCGTGCTCACTTCAACAAGCGACTCTATGAGTCTGTGAGCTTCTAATTATAGAAGGAAATGCGATCTTAACGCGTACAAAGAGATGGACTATGTTCCCCTTCAGGTGCATCCTCGTGAATATTCGTTTCACCGTTGTTGATTTTGGCTTGAAATGCACTTTGATCATCAGAGCATGACCACGAGCCTGAACTGCTAGTAGTCCTGAAGTGATTAATGTCTTCTAATGGACTTTGTACAAGGCGCTGGAGGAACTGTGGGATTGGGGGTATGTTGACATCTGAAACTCCCTCAAGAATTTGAACAACCTGCCTCATTGTTGGCCTATCCTTCTCATCTTCTTGAATGCACCAACATGCGACTTTGCATGCTTTAGCAAGTTCATCTTTGTCAGCATGGCCTTCCAACCTGTAATCCAACAACGCACCAACATCTTCTCCCTTATTAACTACATTGGCAACCATGAGAGGACGGTAGTTTTCTAACCCCTCATCTAACCCTTCTCTATTTCTCCTTCCTGTTATAACCTCAATCAGCAACATGCCATAGCTAAAGACGTCAGCTTTTGGTGTGATGGCTTCACCTGAAAACCATTCTGGTGCAAGATAACCTACAGTTCCCCTCATGGTTGTTAGAACGCGGCTATGGTGTCTTCCGACAAGTTTTGCAAGACCAAAATCAGCCAGTTTTGGACTGTATTCTGCATCCAACAAAATGTTGTCGGGCTTAATATCACAGTGTATTATGCAGTCTCGGCACTCCTCATGTAGGTAAGCCAATCCTCTGGCAGTCCCTACTGCAATATGATATCTGGCATTCCAATCTAACATTAGTGCATTCTCTTGATGAAAAAGAGATTGCAGAGAACCATTTGGCATGTACTCATAGACCAAAAGTCGTTTTGAAGTTTCTGTGCGAAAACCCCAAGGGCGAACAACATTAATGTGGTAGATAGCACCAATGGTTCCCACTTCAGCACGAAATTGTTTCTCTCCCTGCTCCAGATATTTAAGTTCTTTCACTGCTATATCAGTTGAATTGCGCAATATCCCCTTGAAAACAGAACCAAAACCTCCTTCCCCAAGTTTTTCTAAGAAGTTCTCTGTTGCTATTCTCAAATCTTTATACTTGAACAGCACCAAGGAATCCTGAACTATTGGCGATGCTCCTTTTGACCGCTTCCTTTTGAGAAACACCATGAGAATGGTTGAGATTGAAAGGAACCCCCCCAAGTACTCCAATAGCAATCCAAGTAGTCTTTCTCTTTACCTTGTTGGTAGAATCTGCAACTCGTATATGCATTTTTCTGTCATCCATTAGTTTAGTCAGGGAAGATGGTACTTGAACCGGATTGAATATATCCCCTTTCCAGATCTTACAGTCATTATCGTAAGCAAAGGCGGTGATAGAGCAATCTCTTGAGCATGCCAATATACATTCCTCAATGCTTTTAACCTTTAAAGACTCAGAATATTGCGAATAATAAACGTCAGGCACTCCCAAAAATTTGTAATTTCCTACATCACTGCACTGAAAAGGAGTTTTCCTCACACAACCATAAGAATAACCTCCAAAATCCCAATCTTCTGGGATTTTGGGTTCAAATCCTTCCAAGCATCGACAACGAGGCAAATTCTGAGAGTCGCAGATACTAAAAGCACCACATGAAGCATCGTCAGTACATTGTCCAAGCTGACCACCCCAAGAGTCTCTTGTCTCACCCCCGGCATACAACTTGAGTCGACCATTGATCAAAAGTTTGTATCTCACAAATGAATGAGGATAGGTGGCTTAAATAGCTTCCATTCTCATTTGCAACAGAAGTTAAATTTACTAGAGGAATGTAGTTTCCATTCTTATCAATACCATCAATAGAAAAAGTAAGAAGAGAAATGTCCCCTGCATTAGGCCAATCACCAAAGGCAGAAGCCGCAGAACCATTTCGAAATAAGGAATAACTTGTTCTAGCTTGTACTATCTCAAAAGAAAATATTCCAGGGGCTGGATTTTGTGTGTTTCTCCAGGGAGTAGGAAATAGTTTTCCCTTGGTAAGCTTATTATATCCAAGCTTGGCACCTGGAAGCCCAGTGTCAGTTGGGTGATCGAAACTCTGCCATAAAACAGCGGATGAATCCAATTCATCTCTGATGACAAGGTTCCCGTTGTCAAGCAGCACTGCCATGGTGGAATTAGAAACCGCTGACATAGAATGAGTTGACCAAATTGTATATTTCGTTTGCTCCAGCAACGCTAAGCTTCCATTTCGGAAGAGTTGCAATGTCAAAGGAGATGAACCAGAAGCAGGCTGGTTTCGGTTTGCTACCCAAACTACAGTTCGAGGGCGGAGAGTTTTGTACCAAATGCCTACGTAATAGTTTCGAGAGTTACCTGGTGTGAAGAAACCCAGCTCAAATATGCCACCTGCAGAGGTGATTGTCTGGCTCCCCGGAAGAGAGCGGCCTGCATAGATGGTGTCAGATGCCATGGAAGTTCCATTGAAGGTAAAACATAACAGAAGTAGAACAACAGACCGAGAAATGAAGTTATTGTTGCTACTGATATCCATCTCTTCAAAGAGTCGGATTTTCTGCAAGCTGATGCCAAACTTGCTTTGAATGGAGCTTAACCAGAATTATGGTAGATTACACCAGTATGAATTTTTTGACTAGTTGGAAGTTGCAAGTCTACCAAGTCAACCAACACACCAGACAAAGATCATTTTATACATGGCATTGCAATGGCAAGTATCCCTGTTGCAAAATATATGAAATGCATTGAAATTCTCTTGTACATTTTTTTTTCATGAATCAATGCGCTAAATCTGAACCGTTCACATGTGAAATGTATATGTAAGTTTTGCTCCTACCCATGGGAAAATTGTAAAGCAAACCGGCAAACCTGGTGGTTGTCCGACAACACACAAACTGAGCCTCACTGTAGAAGTAGGATTCTCTACCGTATTCGATTGAGATTTTGAGAGATTTTATTTCTTTTAATAAATCTAGGAATATTCAATCAGGATTTTAAGTGATTATCTGAAATTCAATGTGTATTCAATCAGAATTTTAAGATAGTTGATTAAAATCCTTATAAATCTATATGTATTCAATTAGGATTTTAAAGAAGTTTATAGCATTCCAGGTGTATTCAATTAGAATTTGATTTTAAAGAATTTCAAAAAGTTGAGGAATTAGATGAAATTTGAGAGATTTTGTAATATGTTTTAAGCATTTACAAATCTCCCCTCTCCCCCATGAGATGTCAAGGGAATTGAATCAAAATTTTACATAGAATCTCTACAAATCAATTAAACTCCATAAAAATCCATGGATTCATAAATCCTTTAAAATCTCCTCAATTCTCATTTGAATACACCCCCTAATCTCTCTCTATTTTCATCCCCTCCTATTTAAACGGTTACAATTACGTCATGTCTACATCTTGTTTTGAATTTTTTATATAAAGAATAAGACAAAAAGAAGAGTGTGAGAGGAAATGATGGAAGAGAATGGTAATAAGAGGAAAAAGAATCCTACTCCCTCTAATGTAATGGGTAAAACCGCGTTGGACCTCCCATGACCTCACCTTTGTGAGACAAGGGCATGATATGCAATGCAAAGATGTGGTGGAAAGCATGAATTATTTTATTTTTGTACTTTTGCTGAGATTCTTCAATTTCTTTTTGCTGTTCTTAGCCTATTGGGTCACTCTGGTGTGGTATATACGGGCCTTTGAGAAGAAAGAAATCAATATATGGGCCTTGCACAAATTTAGCCAGGATCTGTACACCCAAAAATTGCAGCAGTTTTCTGAAGAAACCCTTTTTGCTTTCTTCCTACTGCTTTGCCTCGGCTGCTCAACTGTAAGTTCTTCCTTTCCAACTGTTTTTCTCATTTATTGTTTCAATATTTCAAATTGCTGTGTGTTTATATTCCATAACCAACAATTTACTGGGCATTTTCCTTTTCTTTTTTCCATTGAATGTCGTAGAAAAGCAATTATTTTCTTCAGTTCTAATGGCTGCTTTCACTTACATGGGGTTTTGAATTCGGTAAGTTTCATTTTCACACTCACTTTTGATCTTGGGGTTTATTGTGTATGTTAATTTATGAGATATCTCTAATTTTTTCATTGCCCAAGATTTTTGAAATACTTATTTTCTTGTAGACATGAACCAGGATGCTCAGGAGATATTCAGGAATGTGGTTCAGAAAATTAAGGAATGTGGATGGTGAGAATTTTGTGGGGTTTTCAAGGCTAATCAGAAGATATGCATCAGTTTCAAGCACAAGTGTGATAGACATGGCTGTTAGAGATGGGGAGCTGAGGGTTTTCATAGTCTCTGGAGAGGTTTCCGGAGACACCATTGGCTCTCGTCTCATGGCGTCTCTGAAGAATCTCTGTCCTGTTCCTGTCCGTTTTGCCGGTGTTGGAGGGTAATCTTTTACGTTCCCTGCGGTTTTATTGGAAACTGTAATTCTTTGCGGATGTCCTTTTACATAGGTTTATGTTAGCAGCCTCTGTCTGTGCATTTAAGTAATTGGGTTATCTTGCTTTTCTTAAGAGAATACAATCTTCACATGGATAACATTTTAGACGCTTTGGACAAAACTGTGGTTTTTGAAGTTTGTTGTTTGAATGATATTGGTTAAACAGGAGGTGTTTGTTTTGTGTCTATAATGTGTTTAGGTTGATGATGTCCAAGCAAGGATTAAAGTCGCTGTTTCCGATGGAGGATATTGCGGTGATGGGATTATTGGAGTTATTGCCTCATCTGAATAGGATCAGAGTGAGTTTGAGCTATATAAGACTTTACTGAACAAATTCGACGACAAATAGTGTTTCATCTTTTAGTACAAGGGAAAAAACGTTTTTACATTCTGGCATCTGGTTATTGTATTGTGTCAGGTGAAGCTGCTGGAGACACTAGAGGCTGCTCTTCTGTTTCAACCTCATGTTGTTGTGACAGTGGATTCAAAGGGTTTCTCTTTCCGCCTCTTAAAACAGCTACGGGGTAATATGCACCACCTTCTTGGTGTTATAATCAGACTTTAGTGATACGTATGGTGTTGGAAAATGGGGACATGCTTTTTGCAGCTAGATACAATCAGCAGCGAGTCGATGCTCCAGTACACTTCCACTATGTAGCACCGTCATTCTGGGCTTGGAAAGGGGGTGAAGCAAGACTCCGAGGCCTGGCTGGATTTGTGGATCATGTCTTGTGTATACTTCCAAATGAAGAAGAAGTTTGCAGATCAAATGGACTGGCTGCGACCTTTGTGGGCCACCCCATTTTGGAGGATGTTTTGGAGCTGAAATCGGTATGATTTTTTTGTTCTCCTTTATGGAATAGAAGTACTTGATAATTGTCATTACAGATCATACTTTAAGATTTCTTGAATCTTTAGCTTCATGTTCGTTCTTTTAAACAGTTGAAAATAATACAAACATAGTTCAGAACCATTTGATGCTTTTAAAATCGACTTTTGTTTTTAAGTTTCAAGTACTAATACACAATTTTGTTTCTAGAAGGACACTTCACCCCATGAATGGAAGATAGAAGGAAACTGTGAAGATTTCCGAAGGAGATATGCAATACCAGCAGGTGAAATTTAATCTTCATTCGTAATATTTATTTGATTATCCTTGGCAGTACCTAAGAATAATTCTGTTATAGTGGCCTAAGAATCGAGGTTCCACAATGAAACCATTTCTGAAATCTTCTTGCTCCATCAATTGATTATTTCTTCCCCTTTCTTCTCCTTTTTTAAATAAATTTATTCCAAGCTCCATATCATTGCCAAGGCGCTCCTTTCTGTGTGTGCACACATTTCTTTCTCTATCAAAATTGGAGCGTTCATTTAATATTCTGTGATTTTTATTTTGCAAAGGAGCAAAAGTCATTTCCTTGCTTCCTGGAAGCAGATTACAAGAGGTCACCAGAATGCTTTCTATCTTCGCAAACGCTATGGGATTATTAAAAGTGTCCTTTCCTGAGTTAGTAACAGTCATCCACGTTGCTCCAAATCAGCATGTGAAGAACTATGTTGCCGGAATCGCTAACAAGTGGCCTGTGCCCTCTATATTGATTCCAGGAGGATCCCTGCACCAAAAATATGATGCATTCAGTGTGAGTGAAAAAAACCTAAAAGAGTACTGTGGATGCTATAAATTGTGTTTGCTTGTGTATCCTTTTACCTCCTACACAGTGAAATTTGTCTCCTCGTTTGATAGCGGTGATGCACTTAACATCGCCATCTAACAGAGCATGAATCTGAGCATATCTGAAACCAAGTTTTCGGATGTTCATATCTGAGCATATTTGAATATGTCTGTTCTTGCTCAAACTTGTTACTTATATTAACTTGCAGGCAAGTAGTGTTGCATTATGTGCTTCTGGAACAGTTGCCTTGGAGATGCAGCTTGCACGGCTACCATGTGTAGTCGCTTATCGAGCTCATTTCCTAACTGAGTGGATTATTCGTTATAAGGCCAAGATACCTTACATCTCTCTCCCAAATATTCTCATGGATTCACCTATTATACCCGAAGCTCTCTTTCAAGCGTGCACTCCGACAAACCTAGCATCATTGATTTTGTAAGTTTCATTTAAGCATGATCTCTTCAATTTTTAGCGTGCTTACTGGCATACCGAATATTATAAGTACAAAGCCTGATATTTCCCTAGTTCGCACATAAATCAAGTATATTTGATCCACCGCAGGGGTTTGATACATGACGATGGCCTCCGAGAAAAGCAGATTGTTGCCGCTGGCAAGGTTATCAGACTTCTTTGCACTCCGGCCAGAAATTCAGATGAGTTGGTAGAGCAGCATCAAGGAGGGAGGTTTCCCCATAACACACCAAGTGTGATAGCAGCAACTGCAATACTGCACCATGCAAAGCCATAATTGTTATCTGTGGGATGTCATTATTTATGCACAAGATGTTATCCAAATGTTTGTATCTCACCGATGAATCCTTTAACTTGATTCAGATTGAAGGCGGTGAGTTTTGTTTCCGTTCTTCACTCGATTGGAGGTGTATGAATACTGACAATGTAACATCAAAATTCCAAAATTTAATAAGCAACCCTATGTTGATCGGTTTTTCTTTTGACAATCGTTTTATCTAAACAGATCCGTCATGGATGAGATTGACCTATGTTCGAAAAAATGTCGTGAACATAAGCTCTAATTTCTTTGCTTGCTTGAACTTGTACAAGTAAATAAACAGGTATATTTCTAGTTCATACAAAAACTTGAAGTCCTCTGACATGTACGCAATTTTAAGTCGAATCGATTATCATCAACCCGATTAATTTGGAGTCCGGTTTGATTTGGTAAGATAACGAATTTGGACCAAATCACACCTACGAAACACAAAATCTAAGACAATGGTAACGCAGATTCGAATAACAAGGCTGACATATAGGGCATTCTTCCACATCGAAGCCATAAGACTAGCTCAACTCCTTACAAACTCCTCAAGGCCACAAACAAAACCCACTTCTTATTATAGTAAACAACACTCACTTTAAAATCCCCACAACTCCTTTCAATCACACTTCACGCTATCAAACTCCACACAAACCCTAAAATCCGAATTTTCCACGAGCAATCTCTTGCGAAAAAGCTCGAAAGATCCCGTTTCGTCACAATAATGGCTGTATCAAGAAGACTGCTTTTGCTTTGCCTAGGGACACTCTTGGCCAGTGTGTTCTTGCTCAAGGTGGCTGAGGCTCGTGAGAACCATGGCGACTGTCACAGTGACCCGAATAATGGGGACCAATGCCGGGAGGATGAGACTGACGCAGTCGGGGATGATGATGTGGATGACACATACAAGATTGTGAACAAGGTTGCAGTGACTTTATCGGCCAGAACCGGCGAAGTTGAGCCAGATGCAGACGAATTACCAGACGCAGATGAAACTGAAGACAATGAATCGAGTCATGTCATTGTAATGGGACACTGATATAATCTAGCTAGCTAGCTAGGGTTACAGCAGTGCTCTGCAGGGTTATCTTTTTCGCATTTGTTTCATTTATTTCGTATATTTCTTGTTTTAGCAGTGCGTTTTCTTTTCTTGTTCAAGAGCTGGTTTTAATTAAACAAATATGAGATGAGTCCACTGTCATAAAAAATTTCTTTTTTGGTCGCTTGTTGGTTACGTCATTCTTCAACTCAAGGTGAAGTAGCTCCAATTCTTGTGATCACATATGTATACTTGGTCTAAGGTGCAAGTTATTTCTCGTTAGATCAAGTCACGCTATTTGAATTACATTTCCCATTTAATCTCACCCGTCACTTGTGTAATAGAGATGAGACTCATTTGTATACGTAGATCTCATCTCAAACAGAGACACGGTCACTAATATTGTCAGTAAATATGGTACAAATAACTAACGATAACCTTTTTAACTCTCTCAGTGTGTAAGTTAATTCACATATTAGTGATTGATTTCAATTATCAATCCCCACAAAAAAGTTCTCTCTTAGTGCAGCAATCAAAGTAATTACAAGCCTAATCAATTAATCAGCTTAATCACAGGTAATTAGAATAAAATTAAGATCAATCAATTCCTTCCACCATATTTTTGCACACGCGCAGTTCTCTCCCTATAAAAATTCCAGAAAACTCACCCTATGCAAATGCAAAAATGAACGTGTCCGAGGCAATTACTGTTTTGTTCCTTGGCACTCTCCTCATGTCTGCAATTTTTGTTGAAGTAGAAGTAGATGCCATGAGGATTATTGGCTATGGAGTTACTTTAAGAGATGGCATACCTGGATGCAGCTTCAAGCATCCGGAAAACTGCTACAGACAGATGGTAAATTCATATCGAAGGGGATGTGAGCCTGAACAACGATGCCGCAATGGTCGGAGTCAGACTCTTCTTGGAAGATGAAGATTTTTGGTGCATATCTAGACAAGTTGGCATGTTTCTTGATGTTACAGATGATCAAAGTGATCATATGTTCTTGCAGTTAAATAACCCATTTTTGTGTTACATATCATATCTCCAACGAATAATGCAGCCTCATTTGCTTCTAGTTTTCAAAATTTCAATCTGCAATATTTCAATTTGTGTTGGCAAAAGAAAGTGATTCTCTAATGGATGACGGTCAACAAATGTGGTTGAAAGGGTCTTTATGCATTGTTCACAAATGGATATACAAATGTTTAAAAGCTGTGTCCAATAGTATTGAGGTTGCGTTTTATTTTATTCTCTTAATTACTTTAAAATAAAACAATACGGTAAACAAACTTTTCAGATCACGTATATAACTGTATGAGATGTCACCTATAAGAAAACGTTAATCAACACTTAAAAAATAATTCAATAATCAATAACCACGTCATATGATTTACAAAATATGCTTTAAACAAATGATTTTTCTAGCATTATCCTTTAAAATATCTTTGTTGTCGAATACCTTTGCTTAGATTATTTCTTTTTCTTGCAAAAGACGCCTTTGCTTATATATTTATACAGTCACTTTCTTTGAATTCAACCCCAAATTATTGGAAGGACCACTATAATAATGATTTTATATATAAGTTCTTATCTTCTTCTTCCTTAGTTTTGCTGTATGCTCAATCAGATCTCCAGAAGGAATCCGAGTATCATTTCATGGCAAATTCCAAGCTGCAAGCATTTTGGAACCACCCAGCTGGCCCCAAAACGAGTTTGTTTACTTACTCCATAAGTTTATACATGTTAATTTTCTGTTGGTTATTTACTTATATTGTTCTCAACTTCTCAATAGAATATTGTTGGTAGAGTTAATCTTAATCCGATAGGTTGTTCTTGATTAGCATCAAAGTTATTGAGATTAAACAACATATTATCGAGATTATTGATTTCTTAGATGAAAACTAAAATTTTACAGAAAATTGAGCAAATATCTGCCTTCAGAATATTATGACATCATTAAGCCTGTTACTTATAATTTTGAAGATGAAACTCAATGATTTGATGGTGCCGTAGGCTGTTTAGTTGTTTGTGTAGCGTTTGCCCGCTCTAATTTTGTATGTGTTGTCTTATCTAGTACCTAACTTCGATGTAAAGTTGAAGTTTATCTGATGATGAAGTTATTTCGTTTCATAAAAAATTAAACACTCAATTAACACTATAACTTGGTACCTGATATACCATTTTCTCATATATATTAAAAGAAAAACTAATGAAAATGATTTGAAAATTTTGAGTTTTAACGATAAGGATAAAATAAAAGGTAAAATGAATAGTACAATGATTGACTTTTTAGTGTAAAAATATGATTTTTCAGTCTATTAAAATGAACAGTACCGAAGCTTTTTGTTAAAACTCTTTATATTAAAAGGTTTGCTATTTGTTCTAATTTTGCAGTCCATTTCTGGGCCCCAACATTTAAATGGGGTCTAACCATTGCAAATATTCTTGACTCAGCAACACCACCAGAGAAACTATCCTATCCTCAGCAGTCAGGTTGGCCATGACTCCCTAATTTGTTTGATGGCCTCCGTCTTCCCGGATTCTAACATACCGTTGGAGATATATTCTCTGTTTTTTTTTATATATCTTATCACATGACTTAGCCACTGTCACGTAATGAGAGTGTTGAGCAATATAAGAAGAAAGAGATAGATATATCTCCGAGGAAGTCAAGAACCTCCCGTCTTGCCAATTTTGTCGAAAATTTTACTTACTGGTTGGTGATTATTTCATTAATTGATTACTGATAGAAACTTTTGGCGTCCACATTGGATGATCTCCAGTCCTTGCATGCAGTGGACTAATATGGGCAAGATACAGCACCGTAATTATACCAGTAAGTGATTCTAAACCTCAAGTTATTCATTAATTATAGCAAATAATTTACTGTATAAGTTTGAGATAGATTTTCACCTTCTCATGGTTGTCCATTTTGGTATATTGCAGAAGAACTGGAATCTTGTGAGTGTCAATTTCGCTATGTCTGTAACCGCTATGTATCAACTTTCGCGTAAAATTCAGTATGTTGCCATGTACCCTCATATTGGAAAATTGTTATTAGCATTCCAAATTAATCGTTATAGCACAATTAACTGCTCTCATATCTGTCTTATTTTGAGTCGTAAGTAATTACAATGAATTGACTATCACCAATTTTCATATTTTCCAGGCATGACTTGTCCATCAAAAACCAAGAAGTTGCTGCAGAAGAAGAATGAATAAAACCTCAATTCCACTTGCTGCATATTAAACTTTGCGTGCTGATTTCGAGTTAAGCATTCCGATTCAATCTTGTAACAATTGCAGTAAAACATATTCGTTCTCATGCATTAACGTTGGATTATGTTTGAACCTCATGGTTCAATTAAGGCCAATGAAAAATATATTGAAGCATAAATTCTGTTTATAAATAGCGACATCTTCATTCGGCACATTTACTCAGCGGGCTTACTAGCCACTGAGAGAAGCCTAATTACGCGGTAGGGAGTATTTATCCCCACACTCAAAGCCGAATCTCCGCTTGTATAGCTTTGGACTTGCAGTTATGCAGGTACTAAAAACGGTTATATGCCTGTGGAAAACGGTTATATGCCTGTGGAAAACAATGTAAGCTGTCTTGCAGCATGATCTGCCTATTACATAAACCTATTCCTGGAAACACGTAGATTTTGACTTAACTAGGGATGAATGAAACTTGCTATTCCGCCTATGTAAGTTTATCTTACATTGTCGGTCTCAAACTCAAATAAGGAGGGGAAGGCTGTCAGGTGGTCAACCCAACATTCTTTTTTTTGTATGTCGAATTTTATGATGATCATGAAGAAGAAGATGACAACCTTCTCACTGAGATCATCTCGGTTTACCTTTTAAAGGTTAACGCTGCAAAAAATTAACTAAGTTAAAAATCGTTTAACCGTTCAATTGACGGTTTAAAGATGGCTAAACAATTACGAATTTAGTTATGTTTTTTCATAGATAATCTTTAGAGGCTCGCCTAGAAAATAAATAGTTCAGATCACCGTACAATATTACAGGATGAGAAAGAGAGACACGTTAAAAAAGTAAAATGAGAAGGTTCAAATGAGAAGGTTGTTAGCATCCTCCGAAAAAGACAACTTAATCACTAAACCGTTATATAAGAGTTGATATGGATGGTTTAGTATTAAGGGCTATACGCCTACGTCCCAACAAAATGCTAGAAAAATTGATCAAAACGAAAGAAAAATATAGAAAGAAAATCTAGGAAATGTGTTCAGTCAACAGGGTTGCAGTGTACTAGCATCTGATGAACTTTCTCTTCTCAATAATCCCTATGGCTATACGCCAGCACATACGTAACAGGCGGTCAACCACCCACCGCCGTTAATTTTAGCATAATTCCCAATCACAGACACTAGAATGCGCCGCCTCTTATCCTACGCTCCCATTGCCTATATAAGTACTTAGAACGTCCAAATTATTCTACCTTTTTACGGCAGAAACATTTTTACCTGATTCTCAGAAAATCCGCTTCTCAAAATACCAGAGAGCTCGATCATAATCTGAGTAAGTCATCCCAATTCTCGATCTGGGTTTCTTCAATTACGGATTATGCTTCCATAATCTCCATGATTAGTTCCAAAATCTATGTGCAATTCAATTAAATTCGTTCATTTCTGTGAAAACTGTGTGCCCGTTTCTAAAATTTCTTAGCTTTGAGCTGGTTTTCGTTGAAATTTGATATTAATTGTATGTGGGTTTTGTTGGGGTTTTTTTTTCAGTGGATAAAGTTGAAAACTTGATGTGGGTTTTGTTTTTTATTTCAATAGTTTGATGGTGGAACTGAAAAAATGATTATTTCTTTGAAAAGGCTGGTAATTTTGGTTTATTGGTAGTTCTGGATACATTGTTACGTATTAAAAGTTGAAATTTTTGGCTTTGTAGGATAACATGGAAGATCCACAAGTGGAGCACAATATTTGGGTCATATGGAGAGGTAAAAGGTTTAATGTGGAGATCAGTTCGGGTGCTACTGTAAAGGATCTCGGGCATGAACTGCAAAAGTTAACGGATGTTAAAGCAGATACGATGAGGCTAATTGTTCCGCAGTTCTCGGATAAAAGCTCAAAAATGTTGTCTCCCTTCTCTGATGGGCATCAGAACTTGAGTTTACAGGAAGCTTCCATCGTTGAGGTATCGTATTTAGTTGGTGTTTGTGTATTCGGTTCATGTCTTCTGAATAATTAAATAGTTACCTAGATATTGCTACTGCTTTTGGAGTTTGGTTGTTCTACTTGTCTATAAGACATGATAACCGTCCTATCAGAAGTTTTATGTCAGCGACTTAGACGACAAGGAAACTTTAGCACCCTTCTAATTTCTGTTCAAGTTTCATTAATGAATATGTGCAATGAATGTATTAAAGGGGATAAGATGGATGTGATTTTGTTTGATTAAATTTCTATAACTGAACTTTTGGAGTTCTTGCATGCTAACTGATTGATTTGTTCTTTTTTAGGGGAAGTCCATCAGAATGATGGGAGTGTCTGAAAACGAGGTTGATGAAGTTTTACAAAATGCAAAGGCAAACTTAAGGATAGCTGGATTTGATGAAGAGGAAAAGAGACTGAGGCAGCGGATGACAGGCAGGCCTCAGAGTCTGAAACTTCCGCAAGGACCTTATATCTTTTGTGAATTCCGGACACTTCAACTTCCAGGAATTGAGGTATTCTAACATTATATATGACCAAATTTATTGCTTTATCAATTTTTGAAAGAGGCGTAGAACTTCAACTTAGTAGTTAATTGTCTGTAGTTGAACCCTCCGGCTTTAGAGGCGTTGAAAAGAATGCACATGCTTGCTGCAGATCCTGGAATTATTTCTGTCATGAACAAGGTACCGTGGAATGCATATTCCCACACTCGTATAAACAGACTGTCCAGTATGCAGTGCATTTGCTCTGTATTGATAAATTGAATTCCCTTATACTCAGATGCCACCGCTGATAATTTATCTTTGCATTGTTCTTTTTAAAGCATCGTTGGCGTGTGGGAATCATGACTGAAATGGCCCCTGTTGGTTATGTTGGCATAAGTCCCAAATGCATCCTCGGCTTCAATAAGGTAATCACTCTACGCATCATAATAAATTATGAAAATGGTAGAACAAGTATATTTTCTTTGCTTTACATTTCTTGGCGTTGCTTGCTTACTGTTGCAGAACCATGGAGAGGAGATATCTCTGCGTCTTCGAACAGATGACCTCAAGGGTTTCAGGAAATATGAAAGTATCAAGAAAACTCTTCTGCATGAACTTGTAAGCTATTTATAGTTATGTACTCTACATTTTCAGTGTGCGCGCGCATTTTGTGTTGGTACATTATGTCTGCAGAAGCTTTTTGTGGTTTATGACATTACATGGTGTTGTGGTTTTTGGGACCTTATACTCTTCTATTTATTTCAGGCTCACATGGTATATTCTGAACATGATGCGAACTTTTATGCTTTGGATAAACAGGTAACAAATACAGTGGATGCATGTTCTTTTAAATTTCCAAGGTAATGTTCCAGTGTAGTTGCCTCCATTTTTTTAATTTAATATTATCTCTGTTTAGTTGAACCAAGAAGCTGAGAGTTTAGATTGGACGAGATCAACAAGTCACACACTGAGTGGAGTGCGGTACCCGGAACAGTATGAAGAAGACTTCATTGTTGGAGACAGAAGTAATTCTTCTCAGAAGCTTGGAGGAAATATATCCAATCGGCTGCCAAGCGCTCGTTCAGCTTCAGTGGTTGCTGCTTATCACCGTATGGCAACTGTTTCTCATGATAGTGTCTCTGAAGCACATGAAGAATCACATCCTGATGATTCCGGGTCAGATATGCTAAAAGAATCCAAACTTCAGAAGAACCCTGCTATGGAGCCTGATCCTGATGCCCAGTCTGACAATCAGAACAAGTTTGAGCCCAGTCCTGATGATTCTCAGGGAACTAATGAATCATCCTCACAATTTTCGGGAAGCGGGACCTTATTTGGAAAAGATTTCAGTGAGTCTATGATCTGTCAACCTGAGTTAGCGGGGACTGAGTCTCGTGAAGAACCAGATCCTGATAATATGGATATTATGGAAAGCAGGGGTCAAGCAAGGAATAATGTGGACGAACCTGATCCTGATGACTTGGATGCAAAAGCAGATAATTTAGGATATGGTTCATATGGAAATATTATAAGACCTAAACACGACAATTCTTTGGTTACTGAAACCATCAAACATGAAGACAATCCAAGGAAGGCTTATTATGAACCTGATCCTGATGATTCTCATTCAAATGGTGTCACTCAGGCAGATCCTGATCCTGATGCTAATTTGGTGCATCCACAGGATACATCCAGAATGCAGATTGATGAACCCGATCCAGATGATCAAGAATTTCAGAGAATTCAAGACCCTGTTACAATTTTTTGTAAACGCTTGCAGGAGAACATTAAGATGCTGCAAGCTGAGGTTAATCCCACACAGGCTACCACAGTCCTCCAAACTCTCTTTAAGATAATAAGGTTCAGTAATCTAATTTGATTAACTTGTAGCCTTTCCCCATAAACGTAAAAACTTCCAGGCAGTGCATACCAGCTGGTTTTATCTTGTTAGAATCACCATCTTATAGGGTCACGGCTATATTGAACTTGTTGCTCTGAAGTAATGTAGAACTCAGGTAGCACCTGAAGTAGATAGAAATGCATTGCTGGGTCATCTGTAGACCTTTATGCATTGAGTTGTTGATTGTGGCTTATCCATACACGTTTTTTTGTAGGAATGTGCTTGAACACCCAGGTGAGATGAAATACAGGAAACTTCGCAAGGTACGGACATTGTTACCATTAATAGTCTTTCATTAAATTTAGCTTGAACAGGTGGAGTTTCCTCTTAAATATTTCTCCTAATAGCTGATGGACATACATTGCAGGCAAACCCCACAATCCAGAGGAATGTGGCACTCTACAAAGGTATGCAACTTCCCGTACATTTAGATTCTGTATTTATTGACCTGGCTTGGGAAAAACCTTAAATGGAACCCGGAAGGGTTGGATAATAATCACAGGACGGTCATGCTTGTACATCTAAAGATGGAGCTTTTGTGATAACCGTTTTTGTTTTACCCTTTTTCAATTTTGCCATATCAGCTGCCATGGAATTCCTTCTCCTGATTGGCTTCAACGAAAGCGTCGTGGATGAAGTTGGAAAGCAAGAGACTTATCTTGTGCTGAAGCGAGATGATCCGGGCTTATTATGGCTTGCCAAGTCCACCCTTGAGACATTTGTTTCCTAAAGACACATTTCCAAGCAAAGAGTCTGCTCTGTCTATGTGTGTGATCTCTACTGTATTGTGTTCCCTGCAATGCATGCTTGGCTGTACTTTTTGCCTTACATTGTAACATATCCGTGTAGAACTGAACATTGTTGAATACATGATTACCTGGCTTAAGATCATGTCAGGTCAACATTGTAAATAAAAATGGCTGTTTTAGACTCCGCCGCCGCTCACTGCCGGTCCAACGCCCTCGTTTCAATTATAGTACGGCTGTTGTATTTTAGATTCGAACGTTGCTCACCAACTAGTTTTTGGTGAAGTAATACTTATCTTATTCGAAGAGGTCTCAAGTTCGAACTGCATTTGGGTTTAAAATAACCTACCCAAAAAAAAGGTGCATATACTGAAAGAAAACTTTTGTATTGGATCACGCGTTCATGGACAAATATAACTTACAGAAGTGAAACCAGAGAGAGAAAAAGGACACCATCTTTTATCACCCTGTGAAATCTTATAAGCTAAAAAAGTATGAGCAGTCACTCCCACTTTACATCCAGATATTAATAAAACTCATCCGAGTCAGGATACTTTGCTCCAACACTTTGATCCGCAAACGGGGTTTAAGAAAACAGGAAACTCAAGAACTATCCATTGGAATATCACTGGGGTTTGAATTCTGCAGGTTTGCCCTGAAAGCGCTTCCTGAGATGACATTTTGAGGCTGGCTGGCTCCGAATGTAAAGTCTTGAGGAGGAATGTCTATGGGAGGCCGGGCAAAAATGGAGGTAGCACCATCATTGTTAAATGCAGGTAGGGGAACTGGATCATTGGCTCTTGGGAAGCCAAAGCTAAACGAAGGTGCAGCCGGTGGAAAGGCTGGCAAGGTTGGGTTGCTACTGTCGGTTGATCCAAAGATCTTTTCCTCGTACTCCTGCAGTTGATGGTAATTTGCTGCATCCATAAACACAAAAGAAAGTCAGAGATGTATAATTGTTCAGAACAAGTGGGCACTACCTTTATGCATGAATATTGCTAGGTAATATTCAGAAGGTTTGACAATCATGGAATTCCATTTGTTTTCTGCTCCTCCTAAGAAATGCTGCAACAAATCTTCATTGCATACCTTCACTTAATTCAACAGCAGGTCTCCGTTCTTTCACCCACTGGTAACTCGGTGCAAGTCTCCATCCCCTCGATTTCATCAAATATGCTATTACAATAGCCGGAGACCTGTAAGAATGAACATAGACTGGTGGTTTAGCAAAATATAAGGGTGGTGCCATTTACACACCCTTTTTTACCTTCCACACACCCATCTCAATTTTCAGCCATCAGATCGAATGAATTCAAGAAGATCAAAGGACAGAAATTAACAGAGGGTGGGTGTGTGGATAGCACTGCACCGTATTAATTGCACTGGCTATGTGATGCACTATTTATGAAACACTATAGTTCATGTGTGTGCATGTCAGTGCACTGTTATGTACACTTGTAACTAAAAAGAAAAAACATGATTTTCAGTAGTTCACCTATTTTTCCCAGACATGCAGTGCACTAAAACGCGAGCTTTGTCCCTTTCACATTGCTCTGCAAGATTAAGCACAGTTTCACTTCGTTCAGTAGGAAAATTAAGCAAACAATGCAAATTTTGAATTGCTAATTATACTAAGAATATCCAAGCTAGCATCGCAATTCTGAAATTCAATAGTGAAGCCATTCGGTAGTAAGCATTAAAAAAATTCAGGTCAGTTACGGTAATTAAATGCTATAAATACACTTGAATGATGTTTTGCCACCAAAATTCACAATAGATCAGCAACTGCAAAGCGTGGACTAGTTAATTTTTGTATTAACTTAACCTAGTAGAGTGTGGTTCATGTGTCTCATCTAAAATTGATCAATTTAAGATTACTAGAAAGATTTCTTCCAACAAATTATCAGAAAGGTAGTACGAAAAAAGCCTGTCTTGTTATTCCAATCCTCCATAAGTCAAGATTGATTTATGGCCCTTTGTCCATATCTTGATTCTAATTCTCTATTGGGAATGCTGACACATAAACCTATAAAGTTGCAAATCCGCTGAACCAGTGGACGGTACCAGAATGCAAAATGGGGCAATTAGGCAAATGCAAATCAAGAAACCATTCAGTGGCGTGCTATCATAATGATCAAAACATATCAAATTCAACCATCAATAATCTAATTACCAAAAATAAAAAAACTATCAATAATCCTATTCATCAAAAACCGATCCGTTTAGTTATGAAGATCCCGCATTGAATAACCAATCAACACAAATATTTTAATGTTTCCATAACCTAGTTTCAGTGGCTCCGTATATTCTTTGACCTAAATACTATGTCAGGAGAAAAATCTATAGAAAAACTAGGAACCAATTGAAGTAGCTAATGTACTCGGATAAAATGAAAGCGACAGTGAACAATATGTTAAATGTGAGCATGTCAGTAACTGATGTAAACAGTAGGTCCCAACAGCTTTATATAAAGACTGAGTTTGAAGGGGCAAATCTGTATTAGTGAAACATATTATGAGTCAAATATCCAAGAATCAAAACCATACAACGAGCTGAAATCTAGAATAGATTGAACAACATATGTGTCATTATGGTCACAAAGAGAGTACACACCTAAAAATTGATTTGCACCCTCAAATTGCAAAATTTTGTCATCTTGGAGATAGTGATAAGTGAACGAATTCTTATAGAGATTTTGACAAGCAGGAACCGTCTGCACATAGAAGGAGAAAATCATCACACAAGAATGTCAAGCCTTCAAATGTTGGAGACTGAATTGCTATTTCAACCAACACAACACTAGGTAAAAATCATTAAAATCAACCCAATGATCATAAATCAGTTCATGTCAAGTAGTGAACAACTAAGTCATTATCCAAGTCCATATCTATTCATAACCCTAGACACAGCCTTAATCCGCCTTTCTTACTCCTCATCTGGAATTATCAGTTTTCTACTGCAGAGGAGTTAACCATCCAGATGACCACTAAGCAGCATATCCTTGAATGCTACTATTCGCTTCTTCATGTTCTGCTATCTATCTCAACAGCCAACCATTTCAATCTAATAGACAAGATAACTTTTGATCTCAACCATTCCATTTAACAATGGATGATCTTGTAGCTATCTCTTTGACTTCCCTATTATTTATATAAACAATGCACTTCCGAATACTGCAAGTCCCCTCGATCAATCCCCTATCATATATAAGATCAGAGCTTTAGTATCTCTTATCCATCCTAAATACAGTCTCCAAATGAAAGTCTAATTAGCACAACCAACGTACTAAAAACGATTTCGGCTACAAACATCGAACCATTGAACTAAACTGATTCATTCCAAAGAGAAAAACCGGACCAGAAACGCATTTTGTATCTACAATTCTATAACCAAGGCATAAAAATCAAGGGTACAAAATATTACATTTAGAACACGAGAGATTCCCTGAGTCTTGAGAAGTTCAGAACGAGAAGCGTTATCGTAGCTGCCCAAATAGAGAAACTCCGGCAAGATCTCAGACGGAAAAGCACTAACTTGGATCGAAGTTCTCTCAGCTACCGCCGGCATTCGATGGCCGCAGACCCCACAGACCTCGCCCTCTTCGTATTTGTGATAGTGCCCACAAACCCCACATGGGTTCTCCCTCTCCCTCTTCCTCATAGCCTAGTAGCAGCGAGATTTCGCACCGACCCAGATGAGAAAACGACTTCTAAATCACAAAACAAGCAAAACCCAGATCAAAAACCGGAGAAATCGAATTGGGTTCGTCAAAAATTGTCTTTGATAAAGCCTAAAGTGGGAAAAAAAGAGCGAGATTTATAGAGAGAGAGAGAGAGAGAGATGGGTAGAAAGAGAAGTAGGAGGCGTTACAAGGAAGCGTCGATTTTATCAGATTGATGAAGGTTATTGAGCACTAGGATTCGCGTTTTGGCTTTTGGCTTTTGGGCGTCTCTCACTGACAAAGCTGTCCTACTGCGGTGGGAGACAGAACAGTAGAAGAGAAAGAAAGCAAAGACGAGATAGAGAGAGATCACGGCAGTGCGTGTTTATCCTTATTGCATATATTATATATCATTCCGTATTTATAATGGAAAGAGAAAGATGAGAGAGAGATTTTGGTTTAGGTGTGGTTTTGTTAGATGCTCTGCTTCTTCCTGGTTCTTGTTGAAGGCCGTGCAGAAAAGCCCAGATTTCCTTTTCTCTTGATCATTCAATCCACAGGAGGGTTTATTTCTCCCAAAGCCCCACCCACATTAGTACCCAATCATAGTGCTCCTTTGGACCACATATCGTTTGGGAGCCATTTACACGTTCCTCCAATCACACGATGACATGTGGATTGTTCCGTTCACGACTCATGACAACTCCCAGTGTTTTCATTGTCCTTTGCTTTTTTGACATGAACAACTCACATGGATAATAGAAAAAACTTACTTGGAATTAGATGTTCCGGTAGTGGTAATTCAACTCAATCACGTATTTATTTATGTTTGATTTCTTACATAGTGACAAAACTGTATTCAATGCTTATCTTTACGCATGGTAAGTAATTCTTTCACTGTGACATTCCAAGCATGCAAAGGTACTTCCCCGTAACAAAGTCAAGTTAATTATTGTTCACGGTTTGACATTTACGCAACCAAAGCTTTTCAAATATTCCAATGAGAAATAGTGAGTTCTCTCTCCAAGTCAAATTTGCTTTCTTTCTTTTGTTGCTTCTAAAGCTCCAGTGATGGTGGACTTTTTCTCCCCACAACCAAAGCCCAGATCTTCAAGCCTCCAATCCTTTAGCTGCATCACTTCTCTTGTAATTACCGGTTTTTCTCTTGCATTGTAATTTATGATGCAAGTTAGTTTTATTCAACAAAATGAAAATATGAGAGTCGAGCTCTTATCATAAATACAGAGAAAAAAAACACTTTTACGATTGTTTCTTGAATCGTTTTGTGTTAAAACTCAAGTTGTATTGGTGTAGTATTGAGTTTAGGGTTATTGTTAAACTAAACAATAATCTGACTACAACAATACGAGTTATGACTATTGGTATCAGTATTTGGTTCAATTTAACATAAAAAGATTATTTTGTTTTGTATATCGGATTATTGTTCAATTCAATAAGTTTAGTATCAATATCTATATTAGTCTAATTTAATGAAGAGAGTAATGCTATTAAACACATAAAACTGACACAATTTATAATAAGGGTGTAATTCAATTACAATGCTGAGGCGATTCACGTGAAATCATCAAAATATAATTGATTAAAACTATTCTGACGTCATGTATCAATAACACAAAAACGTGACATGTGACACATGTAAATATTTATCTACAAGACTTTAGAACATTGTCACTGAAACTGTACACATGAGTAGCTCCCCTGAGTTAGGTGCAAGGCCCAAAGTCAAGCGGCCCATTAAGATGTCTCAATGCAACAGTCGTCAAAAAGAGTTGAACAGAAAATGCCATGGCCATTGTTGGCGCTTTGAAGAAAACAATGGCGTCTCCCCCTTGGCGCAATCTCTTCAGTCGTCGCATGTCCTCGTTTTTCTTCGACCCCCCTCCTCCTCTTCGTTCTCGCAGAGTCGTCGTCACTGGTACTCTCTCTCTCTCTCTCTCTCTCTGTAATCTTAGCTTGCTGAGCTCTGGTTTGCAGGGTTGGGCATGGTGACGCCATTGGGCTGCGGAGTGGAGACGACGTGGAAGAGACTCATAGAAGGCGAGTGCGGCATAAGGGCACTGACCCATCAAGATATCAAGATGAACGGCTTTGATTCAGACACCCAATCGTACACCTTCGACCAGCTCACCTCCAAAGTTGCTGCAATCGTACCCTGTGGAACCGAACCAGGTGAATTCAACGAGGAACTGTGGCTCAATTCCAAGGTAATTTGCTTAATTTTAGTATCAAATTTGAACGTTTCGCCATTTAGTGCTACGATTTACTGATATTTCTTCGCACTCCAAGTGGAGGTATTAGTTGGATAGTGAGTTCGATACCAATTTAGTATGTCCGATTCATTGTATAAAAAAAATGTAGAAAGTTTCAGGCTTTTATTGAAATGTTTGAAGTGTATGTGTATATTTTGTCAGGATCATCGTTCAATGGCGAGATTTATTGGGTATGCAATGTGTGCTGCTGAAGAAGCACTTAAAGATGCTAATTGGATGCCTACTGAGCCCGAAGAGAGGGAAAGAACGGTAATTTCAAATTTTTAAGTTTGTTTAAATTTAAAAAAGAATGAGGTATATTTGAACTTGGAGAATGACAGGGTGTCTCAGTTGGTGGGGGAACTGGAAGTATCAGTGACATATTGGATGCTGCACAAATGATTTGTGAGAAGGTTGGTTTGATTGTTTTGCATTTTGGGTTGTCATAATATTTATGCAATGATCTGGGAATGGTAGAAAGAACAACCTTGATTTGTACTGTTTCTGATTGTGTAACCAGCGTATTCGACGTCTTAGTCCTTTCTTCATTCCTCGGATACTAATCAACATGGCATCTGGTCATATCAGCATGAAATATGGATTTCAGGTGCGTGAACAACTTTCTGAGATACATTCTGTTCTGATGTATTATTCAAAGACCAATGTGGACCGAGATGTAGGTCATTAGCTGTCATGTTGGTCTTTTTTCAAGTTTGAAGTTGGCACCTAACCGTTGAAGTAACCAACAGGGTATAGTTGAAAAGAGTGCCAAGAACACAAATGACTGCAACTCATTTCCCTCACTAAGCCATGAATTATATTCTTCTCTTTTCAATTTTCAAACCGACAAGTCTCTTCTTAGTTTGAAGGTCATGCAGACATATTTTCTTGTAGTAAAGCCTGCATCTGGTGTTGTTTTTAAGCTTAGGGACCAAATCATGCTGCAGTAACAGCTTGTGCTACTGGAGCACATTCTCTGGGTGATGCCACAAGGATGATTCAGTTTGGAGATTCAGATGTTATGGTGGCTGGAGGCACAGAGTCTAGCATTGATGCTTTATCAATAGCAGGATTTTGCAAGTATGTTGTTCCACTGCTATATAATATTATAAGCCTTTATGTGACTTAGCCATGTACTGCACATGTACACAATCTTCTGATACCGAATTTCTAACCTGCATTTGTTGTAACGTATTTGGCTCTGCTTACAAAAGTAGCTTCACTTTTAAAAACGTTGTACTTTGTTTATACTTTTATCTTGTTTAAAGGAGTTTTCTTCTTGTTTTCCAGGTCAAGGGCCTTGACCACGAAATACAATTCCTCCCCACAAGAAGCATCACGACCTTTTGACTGTGGTCGGGATGGGTTTGTGTAAGTACATATTCTTAAAGGTTTGTTTGCATGATTTGTGTGTTTCTGTTTTGTTTCTTCATGCTTACTGTTGTCTAACCTGTACTTATGATCCCAGAATCGGTGAAGGTTCTGGTGTTGTGGTTTTGGAGGTAGTTTGGACGTCTATTTCTAAAAAATTAGTTCTTTAAAGTCTTCTCTTGTTTCTTTCAGTTTTTAGTTGGTGTATTTACTATTGGGTTTATATTTTCCAATGAAGGAGCTTGAGCATGCAAAGAATCGAGGAGCAAAAATATATGCAGAAATTCGTGGTTATGGCATGTCAGGTTGTTTGTCATAAACTAAATATATTGTATATGTTTTGTAATGCTTCGGTAATTTACTAGTTTCTGAAGATAGTGAGCCTGTACAGGTGATGCGTATCATATTACTCAACCACATACTGATGGAAGAGGTGCCATTCTGGCCATGACACATGCCCTTAGACAGGTAAAACCTTGATGGGTGTATATGCCATTCTCAAAATCTTTTTTTTTTTTTCATCTGAGTCGCTCAATTTATATCCGAGGATGTCATTCCAAAAGTAGAAAATCTATATCCAATGATGATAGTAAAAATTACTTGACTATTAAACTTTAAAAGGTTGATAGGTACCGTACGATTGCTCTAACTTGGCCCCTAGAAAGTTCATTGTTTGTGGTATGATCTTTTAGGTGTCCTGTGCAAATTCTTCATCATGTAGTTAAGTTTCTGTGGTTTATAGTAATGCACCTGCTCTTGACTCGCAGTCAGGCCTTCATCCTAAACAAGTGGATTATGTAAATGCACATGCTACGTCGACACCTTTGGGTAAGTGTTTATTTTAGAAGTTGCTACAACTTAGTGTTTTCAGCTATTCGCTTTAGAGTTTCAGGATGTATTAAAACTAGTATGGATGTGGCTCATCTTGTTTTAATTTACTAATCAGGTGATGCAATAGAAGCCAATGCTATCAAAACCATTTTCTCTGACCATGTGACATCAGGTGCTTTAGCATTGTCCTCCACCAAGGTATAGTATTTTCAAGTACCTTAGCTTCCAAAAAAAAATAACGCAACTCATGAGGTTCAATATTAGGAACCTGTTGCTTGTATCTAGGTGGTGTTGTATAGTTGTTTTATTCGTATACATTTAAATTTCAGGGAGCTGTTGGTCATCTCCTTGGTGCGGCTGGAGCTGTTGAAGCAATATTTTCTATTTTGGCCATACACCATGTAAGTTGCTCCTTTGCTGATTGAGATGGAAACAAATATCTGCAGAAAATGTAGCTGACTGATAATATATAGTTTCTTTGAAGATTCATGACAAAGTCATGCACCTAACCTTTCCCGGTAGGGCTAGCATGCTGAATCAATAGGGCGATTTAAAATAAACGAGACAAAATTATATTACCTGTGTTCTCACCTGGATAATATAGTAAAGTCGACAGTTTGTGGACTTGAGTTATTGCATATGATGTGAGCATATTAGTGGATTTGTGTTGTTACACGTCTTTTGATTTGTTGCTTTCCTGTTTTATTGCAGGGAATTGCACCACCAACGCTTAATCTGTCACAACCAGATCCAGTATTTAAGGATGCTTTCATGCCTCTGACAACTTCAAAGACCATGCCAATAAGAGCAGCTTTGTCAAACTCTTTTGGCTTCGGAGGAACAAATGCATCCCTGTTGTTTACATCTGCTCCTTGACAAAATGGTTGACAAAATGGTTGACAACATATCTTCACTAACAGAACCGACAGTGAGGAGGAACTGTGATGAACGGAAATAAGTGAAATATTTTGCTCGGACAAACAGAATGTCGGGGGATCGACTGTAAACGGCCGCCAGACGGAGGAGACGTAGCCCCGTGCCCCTGCCACGGACTATCGTTGTTTTCTCTTGCTGCTTGGCTACGCCGGCTAGTGTGTTTTCTCTCATGTATTATTCTCTCCCCTTAGAGTTTAATTTCATGTCCTTAATACTTGTTGGGTAACTGAATAAGCTATAACGGGCACATAGAAATCATGAGAGCGCTTTTTTTCTCACTGACAATCCTTCTTCCAATCGCTAACGTCTAATTTTCTTGTGTATACAAATGCACACACACAACCGGGACGTGGTTCTACTATTCCACTTCTTTTATATAAAACATGTATTCATTTTTTTAGTACCATAATTTATGTCGATGAAATATCAACTTCGTCATCCACCCGCTCTTTCTATTTCCTTGTCATAGCTTTTGCAAATACGTTTTCTTGGCCTATATATATCCTTGTATTGCTAACGTTGTCGTTAACTCATAAGAGTGTAGAGATCAGCATATAATCCAATGTTATATCACATCGGAATTCTGATTTCACTTATAATGTACGATGTCTTTTGTGATAAAAACTCACACCCGCTTGGCTAATAGGTGGATTAGTTGGGGACAAAAGTTTTCGCACTCGAAATGATCGAAAGTATTATCCTATTCGAGATTAGGACAAGCCATTTAAGTGGACTTTCAAGTGTTTTGGAGCAACATTAACAAGAATCTCGGCCGGCAATCAAACCAGCATTTTCCTCTGTTGTGAAGCTGTGACTTGCCCTTTGCTTCTTCTCTGTGATCTTGTTGTACTGAAGAAAGCATGGCAGACAGATTCAGTAATCTTCCGAAAGAAATCGCTCATCATATTCTATCCTTCATCTCATTCAAAGACCTCACTCGGGTTGGCTCCGTGTCCAAAAGAAGCCAAGGGTTTTGTCTGTCAACTCCGTTTTTGAACCTGAACGATTTTTCTGATGTGCGTTTGCGCTGCAGCACGAGTAAAGGAGTGCTGGATTCTATCGACAGATTCTTGAGCTTCCATTTTTCTTGGAGAAATCACGATACACATGAGAATGCTGGCCGTATTGAACGCTGTTTTTGTGACGAAGAAAAGTTTCAACTGAGTAAATGGATCGAGATTGCAGTGAGGTGCAATGTTGAAGTGGTTGATCTTTGGATTGCTTCAAGTTTTTGGTATCCAAGGCTTCCTACTTCGCTCTTTCTTTGCCCATCTTTGAGGTCTCTGGTTGTGATCAACATGGAGTGTTACATCAGCGATGCGGCTGCTTCATTGGATTTTTCGTCTAATCTCGAATACATTATCATGTTTACGGCTTAAAGGAAGTTAACTTAGAAAGCTCGTCTTTGGAATCGTTTAGTTTTGTGTTTCTTGATCCTTTCAGTGACTACGGCTGAAGTCTTAACATTTCAGGTGACAAAATTGAAAACGTATGTATCAACTTGGTTGGTAGCTGTTATCCCAGCAAGAAATCCTTCGGGTTTTCGACTCCAAATCTTAAACATCTGCAGTGGCTTGGGAATTTCGGCACTCACGTAGAACTTGGAAAACTCGCGGGCTTAGAGAGGGCTGAGATTTCTTCTACTTGTGGAGTGGTTGACTTCGATGTCTTGTTTTGCATTCTTCATTGCGAACACCGGGTTAGAGTTCTTATTCTGAACGACGAAATTGTCAGGGTAGTAGACGTTGAACTTCACAAATTTAGTAAATTGAATCAGAATTCAGTTTTCTGCAGTGTTTTATTTGCTGACATTTCAGGCTTTCTCGATGGACTCCTACGTGCCGCTACAATTAGACGGAGTTTGCAAGGTATATTCTCGAACATGCTCCGAATTTGGGGAAGATGGCGATATATCATTTTCCGGATCAACTCGATGCAGTGTTGAAGTTACAGAGCACGATGATATCCAGTGCGCCGGTTTCCTTCCATGAAGTCTCAGAATTTTGACGTCTGAACCGGATTGATATATAGTTTTACAGTTGGGTTTCAGATTTCAAACTCTACTTTGAATGAAATGAAGACTGCTTTAGATTCAGCTCAAATTTTCTCTTGCAAAATAATTCTTCCTCAATTCTTAAACGCCTAATCTTCTTGCGTGCACATACAACGCGAACGAGTTCTCACACACAAGGACACACAAAGTATCATGGTGTTACTATAATTTAGTTCAAAGGAGCGTGCGAGGATCTTCGAATGGAGGTTTGTATTGATAAGAAACTTGTCCACTATCACAACCTAGCAATGATATAACTCAAACAGAAGCCTAGAATTGATCTACCGAAAATCCGATTACATTTTTTCTCTATCGCTATACATATTACTTATAGTAATGGACAAAATGATCTAAAAGTTTTAAGAATCTAAGCGTGGATAGATTTGAAACCTTCTGTAAGAGGGATCACTTTTGCTGACAGCTTGGACTGCAACTTTGATACAGCTTGACGAATGTCCTGCAATTGAAGGAGAACAATTCATTGAGTTATTTCTGAAACAATCAAATGATCATCCGATATACATGCAGAATATCCATATGCAACAACATGAAGCTAGGACACTTTCACTCAATGTTACCAATATAAACAAAAACAAGAAGACATAGTTCAGATAAGCGGTTACCTCTAGATGGTAGCGGGAGGAGAAATGGGTTAACAGAACTGACTTATTTCTTATCCATTGGGCATTCTCAATGATCTGCGTTAACAGAGTAAATTTTATAATTACAATTTCGGTGAAAAGATGCAGTCTAGTCATTAGTCAAAACATATACAAAACCTGCAGGGACAGAGCAAACTATCTCAAAAATCATAAAAAAAAAAACCCATAGAAAAAAGCTAATTGATCACATGCCTCGTCTATATGAGTATGACCATGTTGTCGTGCATGCTCAATGCTGCACCCTTCATCCAGAAAAGTTGCCTGTCAAAGATCTCGTCAGTTAAAACATATTTTTCACTAAATTATGGAACTGTGTTTGTGTATATTCACTTCCAGAAAATAAGTTCATATGAAATCACTCTACCATAATGTAAAGCCATTTCCGAAAAGATTCATATTCGATATATCCTTCTTCACAACAGACCTAAAATTACCAATGCATACAACCACAACCTAGAAAATTTCCACAATGCATCTAAAGACTGCCACTGAACGATGATTAATGGGATTAAATTCCCGGTCTACTACTGAGGGCCAATAATAAAATGCCCAGTAATTCATGCATGGAATCAACTATAATTATGTTGGTCAGTGAACTCTCCTAAACATGTATGATGCGACTCCGGAAATAGCCGTCAAGGAACTAAATATGCAGTGTTTGAATCATATCAAAAGCAGATGATTATATTTCTACATTTTATATCCAACAGAAAGCACGCCTAAAGGATAAGATTTCTTCACACCTCAGTTATAAGAATCTTTGCCCTCAAGGCATCAGCATTGCGTGGATCCAGCATATAATCTGACGTTGTATCCCCTGTGAAGGCCACTTCTGGTGACAATATAACGTCTGTAATCTAGAAAGAAAAAATCAAAATCAATACTAATTAATCAAGATAAACACAAAACTGTTATGCAGCTATTACAAACCTCAACACCAGACTTCTTCAATTTCTCAATCTGCTTCCCTTTTAGATGAATGTACTGCTTCTTCAGCTTTTTTCTAACCGAGTAAATCACATAACCCTGAAAATTAAAAATAAAAAGAAGTTACATGATATTCTGAACTCTGGGTTTTAGGTTGCATACACTTGCTATATTTGATTATCTATATTAGCAAGCAACGACATCAAGAACGAAAGGCCTCACTCGTAAAGACTTTATAACCCCAAATAATACAAGTCTGGGACGTAGTGGATATGCTCCCAAGACCCACCACATGAATCCAATACTATGGAAATAATGATTCCTGATCGTATAGTCAGAAGAAAGAAACCATGGCCCATTTGTTGCATATGAATCTATTAAAAAAATAAACTAGTCCTACCATTCTGAGCATTTACATTTGTAGTTCCAGAAACATTTTGGTAAACTATGTAGATGAACTATAATTTGATGAAGCACGCACCTGGCTAGGTATAGCATGTTGAGTCCTAAATGGCCGGACAACAAGGTTATTCCGCAATTCATATGTTTCACCTGAATTCAAATGTGTAATGTTATCACCTCAGGAATGAAGAGATATAAACAATCCCACTAAACTATTGCTACATACCAACATCCAATGCAACCAAATCAAGATTCAATTCCACATGACCCATCGTTCTGTGAATGTCTATTAGCTTCTCCACATCCTCTTTAATACAAGGAGGCACAAATACCGTTGGAGGTTTCAAGTTGTACAAACCACGGCTGGCTACATACATCGGCAGCCCACCCTGAAACGTTAAATACAGTTCAAGCACATGCTAACATTTCAACCTCCAAATGAAGCAAAATGGCTCTGTCTTAGAAGATTAAAAGTAATCAAATGTGGATGCAGCTAGTCATCGGAACACGGATGCATGGTTGATTTTGGAAGCCACCAAATTTGCTTTTACACCAACCTAAACTATGAGTCTGTTTGGAAGTGCGTTGAAAATGGCTAAATTCGCTTTCACATAACCAAAAATGCTTATGAACATTTGATGGAAAAATCTTAAAAGTGCTTCTAGGTTTCCAAGTGCTTTATGGAAAAACACTTGTATGATAAAGGCGTTTTTAGTAGAAGTTCTTCTTAAAGAAAAATTTCCAAACTAGCCCATAACTTACAGAACTTCCAATAAAGTCACAAATTTTCAATAGTTATAAACTAACACAATCACTGACTTATAAGAAATTGTGGATACATAGATGGTTGACTTGAAAGCCACCAAATCTGGAAGTGCTTTTAATACGGCTAATAGCACTTTCAGATGACGCATAGCGCTTAAGTGCTTCTATGTTTCGAAGTGTCAAAACTTCAAAACACTTGAATTTTCCATTAAAAATTTGAACGTGCTTCTATAAAAACGTTTCTAGTAAAAGTGCTTTTCAGAGAAACATTTATAAACCAGCCCATAACTTACACAACTCATAACAACAAAGTCCTAAACTTTCACTTAACTAGAAATTAACACAACCATTAACTTGTATAAATGAACTGAAGCAAACAACTTAATGGATACCCAAAAGAGCAAAGCATGAGGAGCTCACAATATGATCAAGATGGGCATGAGTGATGAACAAATTGTTCTGATGAATGGCTCTGG